TGTACCTACAGACTAGGATAGCATGCTTTGTTTACTCCCACACAACCACATACCTTCACTTCAGAGTACTTTCCTCAATTAGATATGGCATTTATTCACATAATTAATTTTATCAGTCCCCTCTTGATACAGATCTGTGTTTGTTCAGTGCTGAGACTCCACTGACAATGGAATACTTCACAGATGTACCAAATGCAGATGTCCAACGTACAGTTATGGTCTCTCTCTATTCACTGCCTCTCTTGCTACAGAAGCCACTCAAGATGGAATCAATCTATCTATCAGAAAGTATGCATGCACAATTTACCACAAGGACATTGTTTTTGTCTCAGTTGCAAACTTGATCAAAAACCACTGTGGGATTTCTCCCTTTCCTTCCTACCATCAGACAATATAAGATTATTTTGGCTAAGAGTCCCATGAGCTGTTATGTTCTCTGTCAGAATTTTCATAAAAACTCAGTGCTGGGAGTGGGAAATGACATGGAGCATTCAGTATTTATGAGTTTATGAACAGGTTAGTTGTATGTAACCTTCTTCCACAGAAAACTAGGAAGAGGAGTGGAGTCCACTAGGGCGGTATTTGTCTTTCTGGAATTCTGAAAGATCATATCTAGTCTACTTTGAACCAAAAGCACAGACAAAAGTGTAAAATATGTTACACTTGCCACTGGTGAGAGACCCAGGCTCCACAGAGATGATCCCCAAAACTCTTTGAAAAAGAACTCTTTTAGAAGTAGACATTTCATCTTCTCTACCTCTAAAGAGACATCAAAATCAATACATATAAGCAGTTGTTGAACTCCCCATCTGGCATAACTATCCAAAAGAGAAAACAGAAGCATTGTATTGAACACTTTATTGAAAAATGTCATTTGTATTAAGTCTAATTGAGCTGACATGACTTCTCCGAACTCCTTCATTGTTTAGGTAGAATGTCCATACATGAATTCATATGAAATTTCTTTGCCTGTTTCATATTAGGCAGCCACTGCTCTTGACTCCTGGGATTTGGGATATGGAACAATGAACACAAATGAACCAATTAAAAATCTACATTCCGGAAGCAGAACAATTGTAAACATAGTGCAGAATATGTTAGATGATGATTTTACAGGAATGAAGAACTTACAGCACAGACAAAGAACAGGAAATAGTGGGGGAGGAGGAAGTATATATCTGACAAAATGTACAGAGATGGGCTCTTGAAAAACAGCTTCTACTTTCTTCTATTTTAATGAGAAATACAAAGACTCATGTTGTTTCTGACCAGGGAAATATTCTATCATCTTTCTCTATGCCCATAACTTTGTATCAGGTGTATCCAACTTGCAGCCTATAGGGACTACTCACACATAGGGCCATGTTTATCTATGAATGTGGTAAATCATAAAATTGTACACTTACATAAAATACTCTAATATGTTTTTATAATTCAACATGAAATTCTTGAGTGAGAACTTTGTACATGACAATATGGAGTAAGTATCAAATAGTTGGATACCCTCTGATTAAATAAAGTAATCCCCTTCCTATTCTACACTGGCTCAATGGACTGAGAACCAGGAGCCCTTACTCAATCACCCCTATTCTGATCCTAATAAACCTAGAGTAGGGAGCAACTTTTGGCTCCATGGTCTTGTGCCCACCCAGAAAGAGAGTTATCAGGGTTTTGTTGTTGCAGTTGTTTTGTCTAAGATATCTACTACAACTGTTCACAAAACACACAAACTTAAGAACCCAATTATAATTATAATTACTACATGACAAATATTATACAGTTAACATTTGGCTCACTTTTAAATACCTGTGTTTGCACAATCCTCAAAAAGCTTAAATAATTTTTCTAGGCTTAACACCCAGAAAATGACAAAATCAATGTTTAAAGCTCTGGAGTCTATCTCTAATGCTTAGGTCCTTCCTCCACACCCAGCTGCCACCAATATGTAAAAGCAGCCCTTGGATAATACAAAGGTGTATGTGCAATCCCACAGAACCAAGTGCTCAAAAGCTGGCTCTGCTCTTGAGCTTGAACTCAGCCTACTAGGTCTGAGGCCCCCAACATAGCGACTGGCAGGAGGGCTTTTTAAAGAGCAGGTATGCTCATAGGTAACTAATGCTTCTCAGCTGGTTCCTGGGGAGAAGCTCTGCAGTGAAGTGGTTTAAAGAGTCAAATGTAGAAGACTGTGCATAAAGATAAAACATCATAAAACACCAGTGAGAGCCCCGAGCCCAGATGTGGATCAGCCCTGCACTCAGCCTGACACTTAATCTAAAGCAGTCACCTAAAAAGCTTTTCAGCTTTACGAAAGTCCACAATACTAAAAATTAAGGCTGTCATATTTTAGGAGCAATTTGATTAAAAGGGAAATACATGTGATTGAAAATATTTGCAGCAAAATTCCAAAAAAAATAATGTAATTGTGATTTAACAATTGTTTTGGGAAGTGGCCATCATGTAGAACAGGCAGGAGAACTAATTCACATGCAGTGTCTGTTACTGAGAGACTCAAAAGCATGTTGGCTATTTCAAACTCCTGAGGTTCACTGGGATTTCTGTCATTCAAAGAAGCAAGACACCTCAAGCATTTGTAAATCACACAGGAATCCTGAACGTCTGGCTGTTTGACTCTGTCACTTGTACTTCATTTTAGAAATGGAGGTGGAATCAGCTCTCAGATTCTAAATTTAAAAAAAAAAACTGGTTTAATTACTTTTTCTATTCAGATAAAAATGGAGTGCTCTTCTGGGTGCAATATATTCAGTTATTTATATTATGCAGGACACGTCTTAATTGATATACCGTCATAACAAGGTAGCTATGAGGAGCAGGGAGGAATCATCCATCCATTAACTACATATGCATGTAACTCCAGAATTTTATATGGGCTGAAAATTGCTTGCCTGAGAGCTGGTTAAAGAGAATTTGAATATAGAGAAGAGGGAATGCATAGACTTTGTATCCTGTACTCAAAACTCAAGTGCAAATTATAAACTCCAGGTGCTTAGTTACTGAAATATAATATGATATGATGGTTGAAATTATGATCTTGGGAATTGCCACCAAGATTTAATCTCATATAGAACATTTACTTGTTCCATATTCATAATTTGGTTTATTAATTTATCTAAGCCTCAGTTTTTGCATTTATAGAAATGATAAAGCTAATCAGGAAGTCTGTATTGAGAAAGAGTAGGGCCAGATGCAATTTGGAATTCAGAACTCCCATTTTTAGAAGCATATTAAAGCATATAAACTATAGAGTAAGTAACAACCTCAGCAGGGTCCAGGGCAGCACCCTGTAATCAACTACATTAACATTTCTCCAGTGAAGTATGGGAACAGCCATTGGAATGGGATACATTATGACTATAAATAGCCTCAACTTACTTTTGCTACTGGAGTTTATATATAAAAAAAAACTTTCATGGATTTTTTTTTTCATTTTGGTTTAAGAAAAAGGGATCATAAATCTGTTTTAGTGCACATATTTTATATGTGTTTGTGCACAGACATGAATACATAGACACACATATGTGCCTATGCATTCATATGTGCCAACAAAGTAGTTTTATAACAGCAATTAATTCATAGTTAACACTCAGTATTTACCAGAATATGAATTATTGGAAGACAAAGACTAGGAGGATAGTCCCAAGTGCCTGTACCCAGTGCCTGGTACCTAGGTAGGACTCCAGGAAGCCCAGTGAATAACACATGATATCTCCACACCTCCTCCATCACAAACAAGAATAAACATTTAAAGCACCTGAGAAGAGAAACAAACCTCCAGGAGGCTCTATAGTTAGGCAAGGCGACAGAGCAGAGCAAAGGAACCAAAAGTGCCTAGTGAGACACAGGAGTTAAGTCTCCAAGATCTGTGTTTTGAGCCCTGCTACGTCCCTTTTAAGTCACTGAGTTTGGGAAAGTTATAACATGTGATTCATTTCTCACTCTTGTTTATCAGGAACATAATCCGTTGTTGGGTGCATTGTTAGAAACCTCTTTTTTTTTTTAACTTTTCCTTTTTGAGACTTGGTTGTCTTGTACCCTAGTAGTAGAGGATGGCCTTAAATTCCTAATCTTCCCTCCAAAAGGGCTTATCATTTTGTACCACCACACCTGGTTTACATGACACCATGGATCAAACCCAGGGCTTCTTATGTGCAGTGCTAGGAAAGAATTGCTACCAACTGTGCAATAACATCAACCCATCCCCAGAATTCAGACTATGACAATAGTGAATGTCAAAATGAGCAAACACTTACAAATGATTCTGAGGAGTGAGGATGTTCATATCTTTGAAGTACTGTAATACAATTTTGGAAAACTAGGAGCCAGTGTCTACCTGAGGAACTTTTGATATAACAAAACAAATGTAAACCCAGTGTAACATACAGGCAAACACAGGTACACACTACTAAACTAAAGTTTTCCTTCTGTGTATTTGACTGCATTTGGCAACGACAGAAATGATGTCCTGTGAAGTGAGCACCAAGCCCTGCCCAGCACTTTTGTTACAAATACTGCTTTGTTCTTCCTAAGGACTGAAACAGCAATCAATAAAATAAAATGAAAAATTTACCTGTAAATTGAGATATATAACCTTAAAATAGAAGACAGCTTTGGTGATAGGAATTCAAACTGGACAAAAATGCCTTACAACTTCTTAGTGCTAGATCCAAATACCAGAATCTAGAGAAAGGTTTGACAAAAGAGGTCTCACATAAGTAAGAAAGCACTCTGCTTGTTTATGCATTATCCAAGTAGACTGACGTCTCTGCCAACGGTGGTAGTGATATGGAAAGTAACATTTCCTAAAGGAATGTTTTAAACTGTGGGATTATTCATACTTCTAAAGAAACCAACAGGTTAGCTCACTAACCATCTGGTCTAAAGGATTTACAGTTAAGTGTTATGAAAAACTGTGTGGAGCCTGAAATGAAACATTTAAAGCCCAGGAACAGACCCTGAAATGAGAGCTTAAAAATGAGGCTTACCCGGCCAACGAGAATCGGTTCAGGTCCAGAAAATTCTTCCAGGACAAACATTTGATTCCAAACCCAGCCTCTTTTGGAGCGGTTCAAAATCCGCAGTTCTTCACTCTGCCTGCTTAGTTCCAAGGGGGATCCAGTGGTTAAAGCGTAAGCTTGATTCATCGGAGCCATGTACACACAAGTGGGGAGGGTAATCCATAATATTATTAATGGAGTCCAGAGGTCCACGAGCGTCTCAGTTAGCCTTTCTGGCATGGTCCCACCAGTTAAGCAAATCAGCGCGAAAATGAGACAATTATTATTTTTGCCTCGGGTCTGAAGCCATCCAATTCATCACGTAGTGTGGAGCGGTTACTTACAGCTCTGCCACGTGTTCAGAGAACCAGGAAACAGACATGTCTAAGCAGCTTTTCAAAGACCACGATCCAATGGCTTTCCTTTTCATTGAAATTTCCTGCACAGACAAGAGGGAGGAAAGATGAGGCTCCACAGAAACTGGTGTTAAGACAGACAAACCAGGACTTTTCAAAGGCACGTTAAAGTGAACATTTAATAGCCAGGCTGTGGTGGTGCAGCCTTTAATCCCAGCACTCAGGAGGCAGAGCCAGGAGGATCTCTGTGAGTTCGAGGCCAGCCTGGTCTACAGAGGGAGATCCAGCACAGGCACCAAAACTACAAAGAGAAACCCTGTCTCAAAAAAAAAAAAAAAAAAAAAATGAACAGATAATGAGCACTTCCCAAACTCTTGAGTACAGAAAGTGGACTCCAGGAACCAGAATGAGTAGGCTAGCAAACTTGTGTATATGTAAGCATCATTTAGATTTTAGCATTCATTCCAGACCATGTCACTTGGCAAAAACTGCTTTAAATAACAAAGTGATGATCTTAAGAGATAAAATCCCCTTCTTTCTCTGGTTGTCACTACCTCCTCATGTCGTGATCCTCCCAGCTCCTCCATCCTCCTACCAGCTCCTGTCTTACTTTCTCCGCAATGCTACTTGGGGTGTGTATCAACTACAACCCTCTCCCTCCTCTTTGTGTTCATCTCTATCAACTTGTTCAAAGAACGCTGTACTTCATTTTAAAGAAACTGGCCCTTAATAAGTAAACACAATACTTTTAAGTTACACACACACACACACACACACACACACACACACACACCACACACACACACACACACACACACACACACACAAATCGACATGGGCATGAAGATAGGAAGGGATTCTTCCCAGCTTTCATAGCCATGACTACCAGTTCCAGTTAGGAAGTTCTCAATGAATGCAAGCTGCTAATAAGGAAGGAGTAACATTAGAGTTCTTCCAGAAGGAATTCTCTAATGTCCAGCATGGATGCTATGAGAGCAGCAGTGCCACAGCTCCCAAGCTAAATGTACCATTGAATGGGAGACTTCAATGATGAAAAGCTCTTTTGGGAATGAAATATGGTAAAATTACAATTTTCAATAGAAGGAATTCAGAAAGGGAGAGGATAAGAAAAAAAATCCTTATTACCTGAGGTGTCAAATACATTTTTTGCTTACCTTCAGCATAACAAAATGTGTTTCTTCCCACTCAAAAAAATTATTTTTAAAAAAATGATGTTCACTGCAGATCCCTGAGAAAAGCCTGACTGAATTAGATTAAGTGGAAAAATAATTCCTGGGGACACTATCCGGTACAGTTTGGCTCAGGGAATTCATAATAGGGTAGAGAACCTTTCACCTCTAGGTCCCTGGTTCCATTCTGACTCAGAATGAGAAAGCAAGGACATTATTAACATTGGTTGGGCTGGCGAGTGGCCTTATTGGAGCCAGCTGAAAGGTGCAGACATTCTGTCGCAAACAGCATGGTTTCTGAGCTAACTAGTTGGCCTATGGAATGATCTTCCTTGTCACCCTTTGCGTGGGCTCAACCCAACACTGGGACTTACACATGAAAAGGACTCAACCCTGATGAATGCACAGGGCACCAATGCTAGTAGCAGCTATTTAGGTGATAGAGAAATTTCAATATAAGATCAACCCAGAGGAGACACTCCAAAAACAACCTCTCCTGTGCTTAAAATTGCTGTACCATTAGGGAGGAAGAGTCTTTCCCCAAGTTAAGATATTCTTCTAGGCCGGGCGGTGGTGGCGCACGCCTTTAATCCCAGCACTCGGAAGGCAGAGCCAGGCGGATCTCTGTGAGTCCGAGGCCAGCCTGGGCTACCAAGTGAGTCCCAGGAAAGGCGCAAAGCTACACAGAGAAACCCTGTCTCGAAAAACAAAAAACAAACAAACAAACAAACAAAAAAAAAGATATTCTTCTATCTCAGGGCATTGAGACTTCAGAAATGGTCATTTAAACCCAAAAGAACACCATTAAAGATTTCTAAACTCTATTATGCCAGCTGTCTGTCTTCATTTACTTAAAAGGCACTTGCAAGAAGTGCAGAACATGCCATGCTCCCTCTTAGATATATAGTGGGGAGTTATGCTGAAATAGTGTTAGGGTACACTGGACAACATGTTCTAGAGGCTGATAGATCTGGGCTTCAATTCTAGATTACCCCATTTATTACCACTGTCTGATGGACAGAATACTGAGCTTGCCTGAACTTCAGACTTCTCATCTGTAAAACAGCAACACAATGACCCCTAATTTACAGAGCTCTCGTGTTTATGGCTCAGAACTAACACATAAAAAGAGCAGCCAAAACATGGGAAGTACTCTCAATATTGTAAGAGAAGTGGTTACTTGAGTCACACTCTAGGGGTAGTGGTAGGAAAGACAAACAATTAAAGATGGAGACTTTATGAATTCCTCAGTATGGGTAGACAAGAAGTGGTGGCAGCAACGGAAGAGTCTCTAAGGTGATATGATAGACTTAGGACAAAGATGATGATGACCAGGGTCGGATGGAGGAAAGATAAAGGTGAGAATGATGAGGATGGATGTCATGTTGCTAAGGACAGGGAACTGAAGGTAATGTTGGATTTGGGGAGAACAGAACAGAAGCAGGATGGAGACCTGAGGGAAGGAGAATGGAAGTGATTCTCAAAATGTCAAGGAAGATTAAAAGTGACACTGGTGAGGATGAAGGTGATGCTGGTGAATGTAGAATGGAAGGTGGATGGAGATGATGCTGATGAGGGAAGGATGGAGGTGATATGAAGAAAAGAAAGGATGGAGGTGATGCTGGGGAGTGAAGAAAGGATTGGGGGTGGCCGGGGAGGCCTAGAAAGGAGAGAGATGGAGGGGACGCTGAGGAGGGATGGATGGGCTAACTTTCTACTCATGGCACCTCAATCTAAACCCTTCTCAAGGAAAAGAAACATTTTCTTCTCTAAACATAGTCTGCTCCATTACAAGCTGGACCTGAATGATCAAAAGCCATATGTGATGCTCTCCTGTGGCGTGAGATCCACAGGTACAGAAGCGGGCTGTGAGAACAATTTCGAGTGTTGACTTGTTTGGAGTTTGAACTCTAGACCTCACACTTCCTGTCTCTGCACCTGTTTATTAATGAATCACAACAGCCAGAAGAACAGGGGTGACAACAGTTTGGACCCAGCAGGTTTGTTCTGAGGACCAAAGCAGTTAGGATAAGCTTACACGCTCTGGTCTTTTCAGTCAGACTGCACAATCTGCAAAAAATAGTGTGAATGATGTTGAAATAAGAAAGTTAATCCTGATTTAAATCCACACCAGATAGTTCCTGCCCAGAAACTGCTCAATGACATTCAGAATGGAATGTGACCTGTCAGAGACCTTTGCCTGAGACTGACAAACTCAGATGAAAAGCCATCACACACCCCTACACATTTTAAATATTGCCATAGCTTCATTAATTAGAACAAATATATAATAGCAGAAAGCTTTATAGTCAAAATTGTATTCATTATCATAAAAAATGTAAAACTTTGCAGCTTGTATTGCTGTGCAAAACTGAGTAAGGGGGGATCATTAAACATCTTGGTTAAGGAAACCCTTCAGTAAAGACAGCAGCATTATTTGAACCTGGGTTGCATAATTCTAAAATTCTCTTTCTTAAAATGGCTCCTCCTTTCAGATAAATTTTTGATGCACATACACTATTTGTCAGACAGAGGAGATAGAACAGCAAGTAGGTCAGAGATTCTACCTTCATGAAGCAAAGAGTGCAGCTGGCAAAAATGAGGAAAAGCACAATTTGCACAGTTACTACTTCTTGAGAAGTAGAATCTTTGGAGTGCTAGAGGTATAAACACGTAGCACAACACTTAACTTGATAATGTTCAAGAAAGCTTTCTGGAGCCAGATATGGAGGCACAGGTCTTTGATCCCAGCATTCAGGAGGCAGAGGCAAGCTGATCTCTATGAGTTCGAGGCCAGCCTGGTCTACAAAGCAAGTTCAAGGACAATCAGGACTGTTACATGAAAAAAACCTGTGTGGAAATTAACAAACAAACAAACAAGCAAAAAAAAAAACACAAAAGAAAGAAAAGAAGGAATGGAGGGAGGGAGGGAAAGAGGGAGGGAGAAACAAGTTTCCTGGAAGAGGTGTTATCTATGCTATTTATTAATAAGTGTTAAAGAGGAGTCCCGTGTAAAGGGCATTTGAGTTAAACAATGTAAACAAGACAACCAAAGCTATCCAAGGACTTTTGAATAATTCAGCATCTAAAGTCATCTCAGATTACTACTTACAATATCAGCTTGTCAATAGGTGTTACTCAACAAATTTATACTGGTCATAGTCCCTACAACATCCTTCAGATAGTTTACCACCTGCCCTATAGGCTCTGTGGAGAGGTTGTGTTGGATTTCTGCAAGGGGTTTGTGCAATAAATATGTATGATATCTAATAGGAAGAAGGCGCAACTTCTCAATTTTCAAAAGGAAGGGAAATATAATTTGTCTGATGCCCATGAATGGCTGGCAGAACTCTGGAGAAAATCAATCCATTCAGTGGACACCTTTCATCCACGTCATTTATTCTCTCAACACTGCATAGAACTTCTAGGGACTTAAACATTCTGGTACAGTCTAGTCGTTCTTTTTTTTCCCCAAAATTTTTGAATTACCTATATTAGTATATTTTAATGAAATTGACTAGCTTTTTATTCATTTAAAATAGAAATTCAACCTGGACGTGGTGGCATACGTCATTCATCCCAACACTCAGGAAACAGGCAGACAGATCCCAGTGGATCTAAACCCAGCCCAATATGCATTGCATAGAGAGTTCAGAAAAGGCTCCATAGTAAGACCCTCTCTTAAAAATAGAGGGTGGGGCCGCACAGTGGTGGCGCATGCCTGTAATCCCAGCACTCAGGAGGCAGAGCCAGGCAGATCTTTGTGAGTTCAAGGCCAGCCTGGTCTACAGAACAAGATCCAGGACAGGCACCAAAACTACACAGAGAAACCCTGTCTCGAAAAACCAAAATAAATAAATAAATAAACAAACAAATAAATAAATAAATGGGTG